TGGAGATGAAACAAACAATATTATTATATACATGAGAGTTTTTCTAGTGAGTAAATAAAAATACAACACATATATATTAGCCCTTTAAGACCTATAAACAAAAGACCATATGTAAGTTTTTTATTTCTCGCCTCATATGTAAATAATGAGGTGAGGTTTGTTTCTTTGACAAAACTCGTTACTTTAACATATTTCTCGCTATTAGTTCGTTAAAGGTAATTTTCTTGCGGTTAAGAATTCCTATTGTTTTGTTTTGTGTTTGTTGAGGTAAATAATTTTTATTTTAATGAATTTGATGCTATTTATATGTTATGGATAAGTGAAGGTTTGATTATTTTTATTATTTGGTCGTTAATGATATGCAAAAAGTCATAATTTTTCGCCATTTAATTTTGTGTTTTTGATAGGTAAATATGTTTATCATTACAAGCCATTTATTTGTAATAACTGGTTATTTTACGCCATTTAAAAGCCAGTATTTATTGTAGGTAAAATTCTTCATATTTCTTGCTATTTAAAAGTTCGTATTTCCGATAGACGAAAATTCTTCTTATTTTATGCCATTTTATATCGTTGCCTCAAGTGACCTCAGTTGTGTTAAGACGTACGGGAAAAAACTCCCCCACAAGGAAAAAAAAACGTTCTCAGTCAGGTAAGAAACAGCGAGCACTGAGCTTCATATATTAGCGGCAGAAATATAAGATTCAGTTGACCTTTGCAGTCGTTTAGTTCCCGATATCGTAATAAACCTTTGTGGATTTAATGCAAGTTCCTTTCCATTCAACAGAACTTCTTTTAAGTTAATATCATAAATTCATTAGCAAAAAGTCTAATGGTAATTGTGAAATCTTAAATTTTTTCGGCTGAAGAAAATAAGACCTGGCAGATGAAATACCTTACTTAAACAGTAAGAGCAACAACACAACTACTACTATATTATCGGCACTACTATTACTACAACTACTACTACTATTACTTCTACTACTAATACTAATTATAATAACAACAACAACAACAATAGTAATAATAATAATAATAATAATAATAATAATAATAATAATAATAATAATAATAATAATAATAATAATAATAATAATAATAATAATAATAATACAGTAATAATAATGATAATAATGAACACAAAAGAACACACAAGCAAAATAATTAATACAAACTCCGGGGGTCATTAACAATACTCAAAATAAGAAGAATTCCCAAGAGGCGGCCAATAACTCACACAGCCACAAGGCGCCAGTTATCATTCTGGTGACGGGGAAATTATGACTAGCAATTATGCAGTCGGCTTACGGTGTGGCCTTCACGGCAGGCGGCGGTGTGGGGTGTCGGGAGAGAGACAGAGAGAGAGAGAGAGATGATTCTGGGTGTCGGAGAGAGGGTGAGGGAGAGAGAAACTGTGGTAAAGTGAGGGTGAGAGAGAAAGGGATGGAAAAGAGAGGGAGAAGGGAGAGAGGGACGGAGGAATGAGGGTATAGTGAAAGGACGAGAGAATGAAAGAAAGAAGTCAGGGTGAAGAAGATAGTTGATGGTAAGGGAGGGAAGGGAGGGAAGGGAGGGAACGTGAGGAAGAAGTGAGAGTCAATGAGGAAGGAAGACGTGAGGAAGAAGTGAGATGAGGGCTAGAGGAAGAGAAGGAAGAGGGGGGAAGAGGGAAGGGAAGGAGGAGGAGGAGGAGGAGAGAGACTGGAGTGTGAGGTGCTTGGCTTACATATAATGATGATGTATGGTTGGGTGTGGTGTTCTCCGTGCTCTTGGTTTGAGGGGAAAAAAGTCTATGGAAATGGGTGTGGCTTTACGGTCTTTTACTATTTCGGGTAAAGAAACAAAATAAAATAGCGGGAAATTTAGTTAACAAGGTGTGGTAAGCGTCTGTCGGGGGTTAAAATAAATTGTCTAGAAGAGGGTAATGTATTTTATTTAGATACTATACAAAAAAAATAATATCGTCTTTAGTTGTGCACATAAAATAATGTGGTATTTGTGTATTAATTAAAAAAAAAAAATATGGAAATTAGCGTATAATGGTGTGTTGCAATTATAAGAAAATGCTTAAAACAGTGTGTGTGTGTGGGGAGGGGGGGGGAGAGATATAATTCACAGACAAATACATACAATTGATATACAGAGCCATTTAAGGGTACTTTTTGGCAATTGTGGAGAATATTCAATACTTTACAAACACCCAGAAGACGTACTGTTCATGACCACCTGCAGGTAAACAATGCTGGAGTAAAGTTTAAAAAGGTAACCCATTAAGTGATCCAGGAGGTAGTTGTTCAAGGACAGACAGACACCACCTAGTATATATCCCTCTTCTTTGAATCGAAGGTCTCGGCGGGGGATAAAAAAACTATGCTTAAAAAGGTGTTTGGCGCCTTGGGTGAATCTTGGTAGATAAACAATCAGATAGAGGACGTGTTTGTAAGTCTCTCACATTGAAATTTCCTCGTTAAAGAAAATGTAAAGGTGCATCTGACAGAATTCCCTTAAAGCGCGAAGAAATAAGATTCACATATGGCGTTATAAATACTCTGAGACTCTACCTTAACTAGATACGTTCACTTAATGCCGTCTAGGAAGCAAAACTAGGATGGGCGACATGTGTAAGGGAAGGTGGAGAGGGGAACAAGGTGAAGGTAAGTTGTTGTAAGGATGGCTTCAAGCTTACCATCTTCCTGAACTGTTAAGGTAAAAAAAATCCCACAACATTTACACAACACCGAGTAACTGTAAAGACTTGGTGGGACTCTTTAATAATTCTGGTGTAAAATATATAAATGAAAAAAAATGCAAATTCACTACTTTTCTAGGTACACAGACCAGGACCTGGAGTTGAGAGGCTGACCACGCCGCTAGTGTCAGAGAAGTATGCCAGAAGGCCATATCTAACGTACTGTATGTGGCAGTAAGTCCACCCACCAACACCTGTCTCTCTTACATCTCTGGCATGAATCGTGTAACTAACAAGATCCTCTATATATTCTTTATGCACTAATTATCCGAGAGAGAGCGTCTGTCGGCAGGTTAGGTGGGCGAGGGAGATGGTATCACTGTTGGTGTTATATGGAGGGAAGGTATGTTTATATATGGAGTCTATAAATTAAATCCTACCGCCGAGGAACCGTCTCCTTCCCCCCTCCCCCCCTTGCCTGTAGGTGCGTAGTTCGAGTCACTCTACAGTATATATGGAACTCAACATCAGTTTCTTGCACTGTGAAAACATCGTAACTCCTTTTTTCCCTCAATTACATTCAAATATAATACTGATTTACCCCTCACTGAAACATATTAAAAAGTCAAATGCAGTATAGTATCACAAGTCTACAGTCACAATGCAACTACAGTATGTAAAGAGGAACACTGAAGATGTACTCACAACTTAACTGAAAAATCAGGATGTATAACTACCTACCGTTCAGACACAGGTTTTATGCATGGAAAATACGTTTTAGTGAAGTATTATCAACTGCCAGGTTCATCAAGTTTTAATTGTTCACAATAGAATAAGATAAAGTTTAAAGATTCAGAGTAACACATAAACGCTATTATCGTCATTAGTTAACAATTAAGTGTTTAGACTACAGTATAGATAATGCAAATATCTTTTAACCTTTACCATCAGATATGCAAGCCCAGTATATTGTCACTTTATTGTATCACATAATTCAAATTCTTATTTATCAAAAACTAAGTCGTTCATAAAGAAGATCACTCTGTAAGTCTCATTTGTTTTATATATTTACAGTAAATATCTACACAACAGTAGTCAAAGCAATATGTGATGACAAACAGTCCTGTCTTATATATTAGGCTGTGGCTGCCAACCCAAATCCGGCTTTAAATTTTACGAGAGTCGGGTATGCATAGTGTGTGTACATTATAACCATTTACGACAACACACACGAGCCAGCCAGACATAGCCAAACCTAATATAAGCTAACGAACTTGTTAAATATAATTTGGTTCGTATTCCATGTCGCACACTGACCTTCACTGTGCATTGAGTGTGGATTGTAAGCAAATCGTCGTGCATGCGAAGGTCGTTTATGAGGTACACAAACCTTGTATACCTGAGAGTATAACCCATTTCGGTAGCCACTTCCTGTAAATACTCCTGTTCATGTTTTGAATTTGGAATACTGCCATTGTTAGTATACGTGCAATGCTGTACTTATTTTTGGTTTATTTTCACATTATTGCGTTGCATCAGCTGGTCAGTATTCCTTCATTATAATAGTACCAACAGCGTACAACTCCTTAACAATACAGGTGAAAACCAAAATTATATGATTTACGCGAATATATATATGTATATATATATTCATCTACTGGTATAATAAGGTACAACAAAATAAAAACAAATATCATATAATAATAAGCCAATCGATACAAAACAATATAAACAAACTAATAATACGAAGATTTATTTAGAAAATATATTTAAAGAGCCCGCCACAACTGCTTTAACCTGATTGGTCGCCAGCGGCGTTAGAAAAGTTACCAATCAGTCATTTTAGTCGCATTTTTTTTGTGTACTGGCGTGTGAAGAATATGCTGCTTGTGTATCTTAACGTGTTTTGTCGGACAGTGTGAATATTTTATATTGAAAAAGTGAAATAATGAACTGTAAATAACTTACGACTGTTGTGAGCTTTGTGAGCGTAGAAGAATGACGGGAGTGCAGACAGAAGGAGGTTTAAAGGTAAGACGGCAATTGTAGCAGTGTTCATAATATCACGTATTATTATTTCAGTAATTTTAACCGAAAAACGAAGTTAGTCTCACATATTATAGATATCTAAACTTACTTAAATAATTGTTGGTGGTCATGGAAGCGAAGGAATTCCAATTTTCAGCGTATTTAGGCAGAAATGATGATTTTGAAGTGATGAGTCAGACGTCAGCCTCAACTAGCCGCTCGACGCCATATTTGTTATTTTCCTTTTAATGAATACCTTTCAAATTTGTAGAGCGTTATGTTGTCGACTTGTCTTTGTGCTCGTACCGTCATTCTAATTTTTCTTTGACCGTTAGTAAGAAATGTTTTCCCACTACCTCTTTATTTTGTGTTGTTTTAAGTTATTAAAAAGGGCAGATTTAAAGTTCCGTTTCTTCAGCGCCTGCCTATTATTTATACTGTGTCCATGGTTACACCAGTCACAACTCGTGCTTTACGTATACTTTACAATAATTAATTAATCATATTGTTAAAAGTCATAAACGTTTAAAAAACAAGAAACCTTGGTTAGTCGCCGGTCTCTTTTGATAACCTTAGCAGTACCGTCTGTACGCTAGTTTGGCCAGTGGCTTCGACGCCTTCCCTGCATCTTCCTGTGCTGGTAGTTTATATGCTCAAGCTAACCTTCATTATTATCATAATGATCTGTATTACTAATTTCCATCAAAATTGCGTCTGTTTCTTCCCGTGTTGCCGAGTATTTACGTTTGTGTTTACCAGACACACAGGTCTCCTCACTAGGCTGCGAGATACGCGTTCGTCCCCATGGTGTTAGAAGGGTAACTGAGCAGTTGTGAAATAATGAAATTTCAGGGGTGAATTATTACTGTTGGTGAAATTTGGCATTATTGTAAGGCTAATGGCCGCTCCGGATACTTGAAACGATGCGGAAAACCTCAGTCCATCCATGTGCATGCATAGGATTCTGGTCCCAAGTGCACGAGGTACTGTACGTGGGTAGGATCAAGGATTCTAATACGAGAGAAGGATGGCCATGTCAACATTGGCAGAAGTAGGTGTACCGCGTACGGCTCACATTTCTCAAAAAGACATTTATCTGATCCTTAAAGTTGCTTCCCTGGTAATTATCCAGTTTACTCCCCAGCCGCTTGTTGGCGCCACTTTGGACGGTGAACGCGTTCGCCCATAGGAGTGGGCTATCCTTCCCTAGTATTAGAATCCTTGGTGGAACTGTTGGGGTTAAATACTAGAAACATTGCTCCGTATTAGAGGTAGACAATTATGGGTCTATTGGCATCTTGGGCCAGAGGCGGGGCTCAGTCGTAATGAGTTAAAAGTAAGGCTTTTAAAAGGTAATATTAATTGACACGTACTGGAATTCATTATTATTAAGATTCTGTTTTGTTTATTTACATTCTTTAGTTTTCGTGTTTAATAGCTGCATTCCTTGTTTAATGTTTGTGTTTGTCGTTGGCATCAGTACCGGGAGGAAGATCACTCTTCAGTGAAGGGTTGTTGTAGATCTATATTATTTCATTGACAAGGCTAATGGATAGTGGGTGTTGATTAACCACAGTGATACACGAGAAGGTAAATGATCTGACAGACTTCACGTTCCCTACAAATTACCTTACAATTATACGTTTGAAATTAGTATGAAATTATAAGATAAACATGACTCATTTTTTATACTGATGAAGCCAAACATTTATAATAACCATTGATGAATATAAATATAGATCTCTTACCTGTTTCTGGTGAGTGAGTTGCCACGCTGCTGACTTTCTGTGGAGTATCCGGGTCGGCGGACGTGTGAGGTGAAGGGCCGTGGGCAGGATCGTCGTCTGGGGAGGACGCTGTTGAAAGAGTTGAGGGGGTTGGAGGGGTTGTGGGAGAGAACGGGCTAGGTGGCTTCCCCGTATTTAGGCTGGGAAGCACTGGTTTGGCAAGTAGTTTTGGCTTAGGAGGTGCTGTGGGTTTGGTCTCTGTATTTCTTGAGGGCACGATGGGTGGGGGCGTCTGTATGATTTCTGTAGTGTGAGATGCGGTGTCAGGACTGGAGATGTTGTGTGAGTCAGTCAGCTCCTGGGTGTTGGCCTCCGCAGGATGCTGTTTTTCGGGGGAAGTTGGTGTCTTGTTACCAGAGGTAGACGAGGATCTCCACATAGGATTTGCAACCGACACTTTGGTTGGTGTTGAGATGTGAGCTTTCTCGAACTCCCGCTGGATGGTCTGGATGGACTCGTTAACTGTATTGATGCTGGACAGGTCATTGGCGTCTTTGGCACTTGTGCGCACTACCCTCGCCCGCCGCAGAAGGCCGTCAATTGCACGTCGCTGCCTTAGGCTCTCCACGAGGTTGACAAATGTTACCTTCAGGACATCCACATTCTCTTCAGCAGCCGTCACTAGTTGTGTGACGACTCGAGACGACCTGATCTTTACCATCTGAAAAGTGAACGCATTTAAGGATGGAGCTTTTGAATAAGAATTTATGGACTTGTCTACAAAAGTCAGGCAGACACTTATAAGAAATACAGTCTGTTTACAAATGGTACAAGTAAGAATTAACACTTTGGACACGTCACAAATATTAACATTATTGTTTATGTATAATTCCCGGACAAACACCAGGGTAGTCGTAATGGATAATCAAGTTTCGCTGTTGTTATGAAATTTAACTTTTTACGGAACTAAATTTGTGAATATCGATTAAAGGAAGCATACTAACGTGACAAAACAATTGCATCAGAGGCTACAGCAATTATATTTAGGTTAAAATTTGCTACAAACTGAATGTTGAGATATGAAAATATTGTAAACTAAAATTTTACACAGTTAATATGTAGAGCAAAATTACGGATAATTACAAACCCTCAGAACCTAATATGATGTACTAATGGTGTATCATTGTCCCATGTGAAATTTATTTACCAGTGTAAGTAACGGAACATAGGCTTATACATACTAACAGTCTGCTGTATGGTAAAGCTGTACTGTTAAATTCGTCAGCTTGATCCTTAACAACCACTGAACAGTCAGAATTATCGAAAGGCTTACAATCGCCTCTCATGTTAGTCAGGCTAATGTTCTCTCCCCTCCTCTGTCTTTTGAACAAATCTGTAAACGTCTGTGTACTCACGCAGTCTATACGCATAATAAAAATAACAAAACATTGTTACCTTAAAAGCATATCAAAGTATTTAGTATTTTTAAGTTATTACACAGCTAGAATAATTAAACCTGATTAAAGACTACTCCGCCCTGAGACCTACAAGAGCATCATAGCCAGACCAAACAAAGGAATGGAGTAGTGTGACTAACTTACACTTATTACAGCAACAAAATACCCTGGATACTAAACAATAATATAAAGTTGGAAATACAATAGAGTAAATCTATCCATTAAATATTAAGTATGAGTGTAAAATCGATAATTAATGGAGGAAATTTAAGTTATTTTATTGACTGATGACTACACGTTTACAGCATTATTGTTTATCTGGTGCTCGGCTATGGGTAAGGTGCTGTATGGGCTGCCAAATGTACACAGAGATGGCTGACCAGCTCGTCTAATTCTCTTTGCAATAAGCGTCTATAATTATAATATGTAAAAAAAAATATCGCCGCCTTTGTCACCGGGGTTTATGCAGCTGTTCAGACTATCTCAGTTTTCATCTTGAAGTACATTTTCTGAAGAGAATATTAAATCTCATCGGCCTCCTTCTGAACCACACATTCACCCAATTACTGTTAGTAAACCTGATGTTTATTTTCCCATTCAGTATTAAAGTTCTTGCAACTGTACATTGAGAAACAAACTGAGTAAGTGCAGTGCGTGTCTTGTAAACTCCCTCACAGCTTTATTTACTTGTAACCGTATGTCTCACTTTTGTAGTTAACGTCATGAGCAGTCTTAGAAAATGCACAGTTAATAGTGATGTTGTCTGGCCAGTTCCTTGCTGTAGTTGGATCATGTAGACACAGCCAGTAGTGTGATGCAGTGTTGTTTTATTGTTAGTACAGGACAGTAAGTCGTACACCCTCCACACACATCACGTCCAGTGTAGAAAGATTGTATTTAGTCACTGCTATGATAAACTGATCTAGAATTCTCTCATATGGGTCTTATCTTTTTGTTAATTTCGTTACATTAAAACCCCCGTTAAGTGCATAGCCTAAGACTACTCTTTTAATGAACTTCCTTGTCCGACATCTCTACTCCCCATTCACTATCTACCGTGTTTGCCACTCGCCTTCTGACATTACTCACACATGCACGAGTCCTTGTATATAAAAAACAAATACTCACTACTTACAAACATGCAGCGACGACCAAATAAACACCAAGCAAACAAGAGGGAATTAGGTGCCTCTGACAGATAATAAAAACATATGTTGGGTGGCAGTAGTCAACACAGACATATGTTTTCTTCCCCAGTAGAGGAAAGACTTACACTTATCACCATCACGCCCTTGATTTATATACCTAAACTTATTAATTTAAAGAGATCCACATTGTTGCTCCACACACACACACACAGACTCTTACAGTGTTTGTCTACCTACACTGACTTCCAATAGTTAACAGACATATAAATCCTTCTTCACCAGTCAAGTGAGACATATATTTTACCCTTGGCTGATAATAGATCCATTAGTCTCAACACTCAACGGAAAATAAACTAGTATTTATTCCCAGTAGACAGGAGGCAACGAGAGACTGTACTATTTACTAACGCTGTTATTACCAGTCGACTCCCAGGAACATTCATCCACTTAGACAAATGACAAGAGACAAACTAGCTTACAACACGCCACAGGCACGTTATTACTCCCAACAACAACACACCTGCGACTAACTACCATACTGCTACTTCCACTCTTTCAACCGTAACACTCACTTCCCACAGCCACACTCCCACAACAGAAAGACGTTAAATTCTCCTCCATAGCCGTACATCTACTCCCAACAGTCATCCACTCCCTCACACAGTCATAGACCTATAACATATCCTTCCCCCCAACAGTCGTATGTTCACTTCAAGTAGGCAGTAGTTGGCTCCCAAACCACTGTCCTCTCTCTCACAGAGTATCATCCTAGTAACACTGTCAGAAAAGACATTTAACCGACCTCCTGCAGTCGGCCGAGTTGGTCTGCAATCCTGACGAGGGTGTGGTCGGGTCTTGGGTGAGCCTCAAATAGACACTCGCCACAAGCCGCCACTTCACAGGTGGTGCACCAGAAGGCCAGGCGAGACCCATGAGCCGAGCAGTACTCCGTCTGCAGGAGGAAGTCAAGGATGAAGGCTGTAGTCTTGTTTGCTTCTAAAGGCAGACAAATATTTACAGTGAGTCAAGGCATAAAGGTACAATCCCTTAACGTAAAGAAAGAGAGATTGTTACAACTTACGGCAGATGAGAAACTACTCCTGGCGTATAAATGATAAGAAAAATTACATATCATAAAAAACTACATATATACAAGGGAACAGGTTATCCTTTACTGAAACTGCTGCATCGTAAGTCAGGGCAGATGAGACACTTTACTTTGCTGGAGCTAAGATAAAAGATATTGTCAGCCATAAACGTTATATAATGTGCAGAACTAAGGGGAAGAGAGGAACATAGCTTATATCACACACAAGATAATTTGGTGTATCATGCAAAATGTATTACCTCTAAAAGAGAATACTTCTAGAGTTATGGGAGGTGAGGTTACATCACAGTAAGAGGTTGGGACTACAGATGAAACTGATTAAGCAGTTTGACGTTGTGTTATGGCACAGAAGCTGAGAGAGAGAGAGAGAGAGGTGTGTATGAATAAGGAAGACTGGAGGGTTGTTAACGATGGTATTTACACAGATTCAATAAGGAAATAGAGAAAGATTTAGTTTGGTTTGCTTTGTTTAGTTGCGTGATGGGGGTATTGACGGCGCGTGTAATGTATCGCCTGCAGGCTGGGAACAATGTCCGGGATTTGTTGTCTAAACATTGGTCATTTGTTTTGTCCTTTTCGAATTCTGGTCTTTATACTTCACGACTCATGGCCGCCACGAAGTTTAAATTGAACCAGTCTTATAAAAGCATTCTCCAGCATGTATTTAATATTTTTTTCTTAACTCTGGCTGGCCAAACCATTCACGGTGTAAACCTTCTTTACTTAAGCTTTTACATAAATAACTGTAGTATTTTGGGTTCATTTACTTAACAGTATCTTCGCTGACCCCTTATTTTTCACCCTTGGCTTAATGTTATTTTAATTATCTAATACTGAAAGACGTTTCCCTTTCACGATGTCGATTTCATCCTAAACATTACGTTAGTTTTCCTCACTTTAATTAACTTTATAATATCTTATGAGACATTATTCCAGTGCCTTGATTTATGTTTAGTCAAATTTTTTTTCACTTGAATTGAAGTTAGAGATTTTGTTAATGCGTGACACAGTGTAAGGTAAGGTACGGTGTTTAACCCAGTATTAACCCTTTTGTAAATGCCTTAATATACTGTAAGGTAATTATTCATACCAAGTAGCATAACATATTGTAAACACAGTGTTAAACCAGTGAAGACCTCCCCGAAAGCCTCCAGAGTGAAAGGCCATAGTTCCCGACCCCCTCACACGAGGATGGCATCTTGATTGAGCTTATGGACGTATACTAACCAACATATACAAAATGTATCTGCCATGACCAAACTCAGTGTAATATATGTCACGAGACCAAACACAGTTTAACACATGTTACAACACTAACCATACCTGACTGTACCTGAGCAGTTACTGAGAGTACATATATCTCGATACATTAAGATAGCACAGGAGTTACGATAGTTGTTGTGGAGGGGAGGAAGGTGATACTCTGTTGACCTTTGAACTTTGTACACAAGAATCAGTTGAAGAAAAAATACATATATTAAATGTGAAAGAGAAAGTAAATATTTTTTTTCTCATGAGGATTGATTATCAAAGTTGACACTCAGGTTATTGTCAGTGTTACCGAGCATTTATTTTAACTTTGTAATTATGGCGTTAAGTATCATATATGTATAACAAGTTAAGGCCAATAATTGCTTATCTATTTTACTACGGTACCTAGATGTGTTTATATGGCTAAATAAGGAAAATTATTATCTTTGAAAAGTTTTTATATATAACGAGGCATCTTGCCCGCTTGTGTTCAGCATATTTAATCTTTTGTATATTTACACTAATGGAACACTGAAGTTTTAATGTTTTGAAAGACTTAATTATTATAAAATGGAACTGAAGCTTTACGTGTTGAGGCTGTGGTGTATTGTGTGCTCTGCCGCTACCTACTGTAGGTACACGTGGAGTAGTCTTGGCTCTCCCCAGCTTCACTCTCTCGTCAGGAGACAAAATTACCTGCTGGTTTTTGTGTTACCTGTTATTGCTGTTGTTAGGACTTCAATTTCTGCGCCGGGATAATTATCGGAGGCAAAACCACTCGCCGATTGGTTTACCGTATCTGTTGCTGCTGCTGGAGTCTCAGTACTTCGTCAGGGCAATTGGTCGAGACAAAATTACTCACCGGCTTTTATATATTTAGCTGCTGCTGCTACTGCTGTTGTTGTTGGAGTGTCGGTGTGTCGTTAGGGTGATCAAAGAAGACAAAGTCACTCACCGGATTCTTCATCTCCTGCTGCTGTTCGGTCTTGTCGGCTGAGGAGGTCGGGGAGAGGGCGTCCCGCCGAGCCACCTCAAGGAGGGAGTAATTGACGGGCATATCTTGCACGGCGTGGACTGGCTGTGGCCGGCGACACGTGGGGCACAGGAAGTTACCTGTAGGAGGCAGGCAGGAGGGCGCTGGGTCATGAGCAGGATGATGATAAGGCGAGTTAATAATGGGTAGGATGATTGGTTAATGTTTGGATGTCTCTTCAGATTAATAGGAAGAGTCGCTGGTTGTTAGGTAGATACTAGAAGAGAGACGGAGAAGACGATAATAGTCATATGGAAATAAAAGAGGGAGAGAGAGAAGTAAAGATAAGAGAGAGAGAGAGAGAGAGAGACCGGAACAACAAAATAATGGTAGTTACTGGAAAGACAGACAGACATACAAACCATAATAACAGGGCAGATAATAGCAGCCCTCACAACACCAAGCACTTGGGACGCTCTACACCCCGTCAACGCTGCAGCTTCAGTAGGACCGGCCAGCCACACCCTTATCTTGATTCAGGAATATACGTTTTCTCTTGTCTAGCTATTGTTTACCTACGTAGATATTGTTAAGAAAAATAGCTCTTGGTCCAGTTGGTGTTTCGTGATTTTTTTTTTAACTTGCTGTTGTTTAGTTGGAGATTGTGTATCGGGGAAAATTGTTTCAAAATAATCCTTTTATTTTTTATTTTTATGATGACTTTATAGTTTACCTTCATAGTTATTCTGAATGAAGTTGCTGTAAATTATACCTGAGGATTGTTTTTTTTTTCTCTTTTTTTAGCAATTTGACGTAACTTCTAGATATAAAAATTGAAGTACAAAAAGTTCCATGTTTTCATTTTGAAGTATATACTGTCTTGATTATATACCGTATGTAATGTAATTTAAAATGGATTAATGGGACAAATTATGTGTTCAAAGTTAGCTGGAGATCGTTTTACTGCCTCTGAGTGTGTGTGTGTGTGTGTGTGTGTGTGTGTGTGTGTGTGTGTGTGTGTGCGTGTGTGTGTGTGCAGGAGCCGTCAGTAGTGTGTGTCTGGATCCAAAACTCGGTGTCAACCATCTCTGACCCTAAAAGGAAACCCTAAATATTAGTTAAATGGTCACCATATTTATTAGGGTGACACAGCATTTTGGGCCAGTTGATACACACATTAACGTCACATACACACACACACACACACACACGGACGTATCGAGTCAACTTTGAACCCTTGAACTGGTCCCATAAGTCCTTTCAGGTCATAACACAAAATATATTATTACCGACTCGTATAAATATTTAATTTCCTATTTATTTCTTCAATTTATCAGTTTTATTTCTTTCATTGTTAGTATATCCGAGATTCACTATTCCTCTAGCTTAGACTCGGAACCTACAGTACTGTAACCTAGCTTAACCCTAACCTAACTTAACGAGGTGAATTTATCCTGATTAAATCCGCGGTTTCAATATGAAAATGGTGGTTTGGTTCCTGGTCCAACTTGGGCATAAATTTGGTTTAATAGATGTTGAGCGAACAAGATAGAGTCAGGTTGTGTATTGTTGGTGTAAGAACCACCGCAAGTGCCGCACGCGGGAGACACCATCCATCACCGTGTACCGTTGATCCCGTGTAAGGTTTTAATAAAGTAAACCTCCGCTTGTTGTCGGCTCACCATTGGGATTTTATATTTTTTATTACACTAGATCATGTGATAGCGGAGAGTGAATTATGCGAGAGTTAGCAGTAAATTGTAGGATAATAGGCAGTAAATAAAACAACATCTCGCTCTGCATCACGCGGCTCACCTCAGGGCTCCTTACTTGGTCCACTGATATGCGATAATCATGTCAATAAAAGTGACTTATGTAACCTGAACGACTACAGAAATCACAGTGTTATTGTTGGTCATCCATTCAGATTTTGTGATACGTCTGCTTATTTAGATTGTGAATATTTCGAAATACATCATAGGGAGATTTTGCTTCCCTATTGGTAAGTAGTATTTTGAAGGGAATTTTGTTCAGGGCAAAACTACAGCATTAAGATGAAAGTTATGTTTATAAAGACACTGTGTGCGGTGGAGTGACAGGACACCAGCATTATGAATTTATGGTTGGTTTGGTTAACTCATAAATTGCGAAGTTGTCAACATGTGTTTACCTTTAACTCCTTCCCTGGCCATGATGCCAGCGAGGCAGTGCTTACAGAAGGTGTGACCACAGGCGGGGAGCATCAGAGGTCGCCGATCACCCTCACTGTAGGTGTCCAGACACACGGAGCACGTCAGCCCGTCGTCGAGGGTCAGCTCCCTTCTCCCAGACGACATTGTGGCGGAGGTCTCACTACTGCAGGAGGCAATGGCAGGCGGTACTGAGGCTCACATACAGTAGACCAGTTACATTCCTCACAAGACAAGGCTACTTTTGACTCTTTCAAGATGACTTCATTTTAACCATAATCTGAATGTTCACATTTTAAAGACTTTTCTTAGAGCTAGAACTATTTTTCAACAGCTTACCACAGTTTAATTAGAATATTTAACATTCATATGACTATTGTCCTGCACCCTACACTGTGGCGAGGGGTCGACGAGAAGGCAGAGGGAGAACTGTTTAGCCTCAGGAAATGCCAGATACTGCTCGATAACGGAGATAAGAACTTGTTGGCTGCGCAATGAAGTGATAATGTATCTTATCTCGATTTTAGACACAAGGAAGCCAGACGGTGATAATACTGTACTTTCCGGATATCTGCACTCATAACAAACTTTACCGAAGTATATAATAAATAATCTTAGAAATTTGAAAGTGATGAATTACATGTGTGTCTGCTTATATATCCGGACCAGTTTATACGGGATAGTTTAGAATCGCCTGAGTTGTTATTTTGTTCAAGTCTTCTTATGAACATTGGTGAATTATATTATAAGTAAGATGTACTAATTTTAGCCAGGGATTGATGAAATTCTGGGTTATATCGCGTGTTTGATTGGTGTGTGTAGAGCAGTGAAGTATACTTTTCATGTATGCTAAATAAGTATACACTTCCTCTCGTTATATTTTATTATGATATAGGAGGGAAGTGCGCGCGCGTGTGTGTGTGTGTGTGTGCGTGTGCGTGTGCGTGTGCGTGTGTGTGTGTGTGTGTGTGTGTGCGTGTGTGCGTGTGTGTGTGTGAGCGAAGATTGTATTATGTAAGGTAGTAGAAGGTGGTAGATGTACCCTAAGTCTTGTGTGTCAGAGTGCATGGGTCGTGTAACATTATATACCGTACTGTACTTGTCTTTGAACCAGTGTCTCCCAGTTTCTTGATGTAAATAATAGGTAAATCTTCCGACGTTTGTGTATGTCTGTGTTTACCAGTGATTGTATCTTTGTTGATGTGTTTATCTTTCTTTGTCTACCATAATGTCAGGAGTTGGATTCAGTTTACGGTATTTACGGTATCTTCTATTTTCTTCTAAATTATTAAACGTCAGTGTTTCAATTATGAGCCAGTTAGTTCTAAAATTAGCAGCTTGTACGATACCTTGGTCCAGTAATATATGTCGAAAACGTCCTTTTAAATGTCTATTTTGGATTTTTGTATTAAGGATATTTATGCGATCAATTAAAAAAATATATATTTCAAATCGGTGTTCGGTTTATTAAGAAAAAAAAAAGGGGAGAGTTATAGCTTAGATTTTTATTGTTTGTGTCATCAAGATCACAGCTAAAAATCATAGTGAAAACCATTTTGTCTGTGTATTTGTTTTTTTGTCTGTATTTGTCTTTGTGTCTGTGTTTGTATGGTGATGAAACTTTATTGGCGTTTTGTTGTCCCATTGGGCTCTTTTTCTGACTTAACGAGGGATACTGTTATAAATACCGAGCCTTTTATTCCTGCCAGTCACAAATTCCTTTACATTCTTCCCCTCTGTGTGTCTAAGTTAGTCTCCTCTACGTCTTTTTCTCTTACTATGGTCATCTTACTTCTCCTGTTCCTCATTTACATGTTTTATTCTTCCCCTCTCTTGCCTCATCTTCCCTCTTATACCCCCTCTTCCTCCCCCCACCCCCCCAGATAGGTCATCTCTCTCTCTCTCTCTCTCTCTCTCTCTCTCTCTCTCTCGACCCCTCAACCGGTCAGCCCAAAGAACTGTACCTCAAATCGATATCAAGCCAACTATAACGCGCTAAATGATATATACTGGATGTGATATGCAAATTGTCGCTAGGAATAGTATTAGTCTTAACAACTTATACTTTATGAGTGAGCCAGCAGTAGTGATGGTGAAAGGGGGGGAGGTAGTGGAGTTGGTGGTGATTGTTTGTTGGTTGTTTCTGGTGGTGGTGGTTGTAATGGTGCTGGTGATTTTGGTTGCTGCTTGTGGTGGTGGTGGTGGTGGTTGTAATGGCGATGGTGATTTGGTTGCTTTTGCGGTGGTGGTTGTAATGGTGCTGGTGATTTTGGTTGCTGCTTGTGGTGGTGGTGGTTGTTATGGTGATGGTGATTTTGGTTGCTTTTTTGCGGTGGTGGTTTTAATGGTGCTGGTGATTTTGGTTGCTGCTTGTGGTGGTGGTGGTGGTTGTAATGATGATGGTGATTTTGGTTGCTTTTTGTGGTGGTGGTTGTGGTGGTGGTGTGTTGGATCATTCAGCTTTCGACTCCCCTTTTGATTTCTTTAAACAAACGTCATTATGCCTACCAGTTGCCCTAAATAAATATGTTTCATGACTTTTCTATTAGGTGGGAATTTATGATCTTGTTGAAGTTTAGATTTTATCAACTTCATTTTAAGTCCTCCTCTTTTATTTGCATCATTCAGACCTTCTACTGTGTGTGTGTGTGTGTGTGTGTGTGTGTGTGTGTGTGTGTGTGTGTGTGTGTGTGTGTGTGTGTGTGTGTGTGTGTGTGTGTGTGTGTGTGTGCGCGTGTGTGTGTGTGTGTGTGTGTGTGTGTGTGTGTGTGTGTGTGTGTGTGTGTGTGTGTGTGTGTTTGTGTGTATGTGTGTGTGTGTGTGTGTGTGTGTGTGTGTGTGTGTGTGTGTGTGTGTGTGTGTGTGTGTGTAGTGTGTTTGTGTGTATTTGTGTGTGTGTGTGTGTGTGTGTGAGCAACATTTCTACATGAGCTTGCTCCTTCACGGTCGTTGTTTGTGTGTGTGTGTGTGTGTGTGTGTGTGTGTGTGTGTGTGTGTGTGTGTGTGTGTGTGTGTGTGTGGTTTGTGTGTATGTGTGTGTGTGTGTGTGTGTGTGTGTGTGTGTGTTTTGTGTGTGTGTGTGTGTGTGTGTGTGTGTGTGTGTGAGCAACATTTCTACATGAGCTTCGCTTCTCCTTCACGGTCGTCGTTTGTGTGTGTGTTACATACACTTACTGTTGTCTGTAACCGGTGCTGGAGGTGGAGATTCCCGCCAGGCTACCATTGGTCACGCTCGCCAATTGCAACGCAGGAATGCAGCTTATGCATACGAGCAGCTGCACTCAGTGTTGCCAGGGAGCGGTAAGTCCAGGGACATAGTCAAGGTTTGCACTTTTATGTTGATGATTATTATCCCTGCTAGTGTTTTTAACGTGTGTGTAGGAAGCTTAACTTAACCCCAGACTAGTGAATATTATACGGATGATTTTGAGACAGCAGAGAGATTCCTATCTTAAAGTATAAATTATAAATTCATGGGCAAAAATCATAAGATTCCGCCTTGTGTACACACACACACACACACGTGTATATATATATATATATATATATATATATATATATATATATATATATATATATATATATATATATATATATATATATATATATATATATATAACGAAAGAGATTATTAAATAGATAAATGAATAAATAAAAATTAATTAAAATTCGTCCTCGTTATTATCAGGTTGTATCCACTTATGTAATGTAGCTATATACATGATTTATGTATCTTGTTATGTAAATCTTTAAGACGTGTTTAATCTATCTTACCTGCGGCGCTACATGATGTCAATAAATAGTGCGTCTTTAAGGAACTTTTTTTTTTAGATGTACAGTACACCCCAGTGTGTGTGTGTGTGCCTCCCTCTATACCCAAAGTGGCTACGCCCATTAGAATCCTGGTTCCCCCACATCCCTCACGCCCAAAACCCCGCCCATGTCCTTCCCTATTTGATCTTGACCGTGACCTAGCCTACAGGAAGCCAGCATGCACCCTCCCCCTCCCTGAACACGATTTTTGCATATAAGCTGTTTATAAGATTATGTCAGAGGTAATGGATGGTCAGGGCACAGTGAACGTCTGCCAAAAAAAAAAAAAAATTCTAGTTGCTGACAGATACTGAATTCTGTCTTGATTTTCTTCTTTACATCAAGGTTATGGCTGATGGGTTTTGGGGAATTAGTGTTCTTAAACTGCCTAACATGAAGCGTACAGAGGACTCATGATAGACGGGCTACGGTTAGTTTTGTTGTTATTGTCTCTCATCATTGTAGTCGTCCGTGTAGTGTTTGTAGCCCAAAGTACCTGCTGTAGAACGTGTTTATCTGAAGACGACACTTGTTCTCCTGTGGGTTTATTCAATGAGTCGTAACAAGGAAGACTCAATAGGACTCATAAGGACAGTATAAGTCTTCACATGACTGCACATAAGTGTTGACCCTGAGCAAGACGGCAGCTGGGCAAGAGAGCGATCACTACACTTGTCTCTGGTCCACTACAAAGCATTGTCCTCCTCTCCTTCCTTCTATACACGACCTTTGACATTACCTTCATACACCTTCCTCGTGCCAGCCTTGCCGTGTTGTTGATGTTGTTACGGGTAGGTTAGGTTAGGTTTGACGTGCGGAACTTTTTGAACACTTGGATCTAGCTATCATGATCTGTTGCAAGGTGACTGAGTGAACGTTTATTGCCGCATTGTTTTGTACCTTAGCGAGACATAAAGAGACAGCACTACAGCCACTTCCAGTACTACGTGTTGTATAGCAATGTTCAGGATGGTTGGGTCCAGCAGTTAAGAATTCACTCGTCTTTTGTGTAGATAACAAACACATTCTTTAGTGTTCTTATGTGTCTTTAAGTGACCGCCGTGTAGTCAGTGTCAGTACCAGGGGGGGGGATTACTGCCTCTCTCTGGCCTAAGTTCACTGGTTATCATTCCTCTCGTTTTATATTAAGATAACACACATATTGTGGATCATTTTATGGCCCCTGCACAGACCGTAGTGTAGTCAGTGATTATTATGTTTATTGTAGAGGTGTTGGTTTAGTGTTAAATGTGATCAAACAATCTGTTGTTACTTCGGTTTGACCAAATTAATTACTGTTCAACGCAAATGATAATTGGACAGACAGACAGACAGACAGACAGACAGACAGACAGACAGACAGATAGACAGGCAGACAGACAGACAGACAGATAGACAGGCAGACAGACAGACAGACAGATGTTATAATGATATACTCCCTCAAGCACTCACCAGGAAGAGAGAACCATCACACCCCTCCCTCAGGCGCCACCCTATACAGTCACATCTGCATAGGTCCTTAACGCCACCAGGCAAAGACCCAGCCCTGTGTGTGTGTGTGTGTGTGTGTGTGTGTGTTTCTTTGGACTTTCGAACTTATTGTCTTTTGCCTCTCTC